ATATATATATATATACATGTATGTATGTATGTATGTTTGTGTGTGCGTGTATGTGTGTATCGTATGTATACATGTATACATCTTAAGTAGTAAATATATATTTAATAATTTTATGCCACCGAGTTATCCAATTATCCGATTACAAGTACAGACTAAGAGCGCTAGCATAAACATCACAGCTTTGCAGTGGATCCTCAGTGCATGCTTAGCATCTTAAACATTTAAGTGTTGAGATTTTAATATACTCGAATATATCTCATTTTGTGATATAGTTTGATAAATTGTATCTATTGTTTGCATGCAAAATGATGTTTTTTTGTTTTTAAGGATGCACAATGACTATGTAATTCTGGAAATTCTATACATCGATATATTTACATATTATAAGGCTATATATGATATTATTCATTATAAATCCGATGAGCCAGCAGCGACCATTATCAGTGAAAGCCGCAAAACATGTAGCTTATGCATTTTGTTTCATAGCTTTATTTATATTTACTTATATACCATTTTCATCCTCAAGCGTATCGCGATACTTCACCTATCTGTATTGTTTGTTTGTCCCATAAATATTTGCTTGACAGATTGTACCCTTTAGCTGATTTCTAAGTAGAAATATTTTTGTTTCTATATGCATAACGAAAAAATACACGTCTTATATAGAATTTTCGTTCGTTCATTATATTATAGATAGAAAATCGTATACTATGTTACTGTAAGATTCGCGCTTAAGACAAATTTTCTTGAGATTGATTGATGGAAATGATACACACTGCTCGGCTGAATTCAGGCCACCTCGCATACTCATTGTGCATCCCTTTTTCTCACTCGATTGTAGCGAGGCATATTTTTGATTTAATATATATATATATTATATATATAAATACATATATATATACATATATGGGACCTAATTATCATATCGCACATTCAAATGCAAAAGACAGCGCATACACGTACATAAGTACTTGGAGCTGAGGATGGAAGACTGCAGAATAACGAGAGTATACAATTCGTTGTAGACAATTGTTATAATATTCTTTCACTTTCATGATATGGTCACTGTACTCATCATTTCAACATAGTACAGAATAATTGCACAGAATTAGTGCTAATTGACAGCATCCATAGCCATTGGTGCATCAGAATGAATACCTGACGTTTCTCTATTGTCAATTCACATCGGTATATATATTATATGCTGCAGGCCATGAACCATATAAGCTTCGCTTCATCTCTCGAGTTCCAACAAGCGAAAGGCCATACAGACACGGGTTTTAACACAACCGATGTGCCGACAGTGTCATGACACAGCATGCCCGATGCGTATACCTAACGCATATTGAATCAAGCTGGGCAAAGAGGCAAAAGTCTATTTATTATTAGTCGACCGCTCAATGGATATTGTGTGATGCATATAATCTCGAAAAGAGAGAAGAAAAACTCTTTTAACTCCGTTATTCTGTGGTTCTCAAGATTGAGTGTAAATTACTTTTTTAAGAACGTTTTACATGTCGAATATTGTGCGTCTATATCTTCGAGCATACATATGATATGTATATATGTATATATCGTTTATTATCGCATCCAAATTTATATACATATATAGATACGTATATGTGTGTATGATTATATAATTATTGAAAAGAAAAAAATGTCTTCCTGAAATCACAAACCAGGAAATCGCCTTACGCACTTAGATATAACATTGGTATCTGTGCCTTTCCTAATTCAGCCTGCCTGTAACTGTATATGCATACTTTACGTCGTCCGTCTAAAGAAAATCTAATATCTTCTTTATATTTTTCTACCATTTTCATTTTTCGCACCATAAAAGCTATTTTAACTTATCGTTTTACTTTTATTATAAAAGAACGGTAAAGAATGTATGTAACAGCTATTTTACGAAGATCGATAAGATAGTAAATAGATGCCTTCTCCCCGACGTAAAGTATCTAGCTGCTGAAATGATAAATGTGAATTTAATAAGTGTGTTCAAAACACTTACATTTAAGCACCGAGAGCATATTTTTATGTAACGGCGGATGTGCGATAGGCATAGATTATTCTCCTATATTAAAGTTAGCAACCTTAGTAATCTTGCAAATGTGATGAAATGAGTTTTATTTGCAAATCAACGATATATATAAACTAGAACAGAAGTTTTTTACCATTTTTAAATATTTTGTTTGAAGCAAACTCTTTAACTTCTTACTTATATTTTATCGATGAAAAACACATTTATTCATGTTCCTTGTTTTTGTATTACTACCTTATAATACCCTTTTTTTCTCTCTATACTGCCTTTAGAAGATAAAAGCGACAGATGCTTGCTAACGTGAAAGTATATATATTCGATCGTAATGATCGATTACAAGTGGTAGAGAATTTCGAGTGTGAGGAAAATGTTATAGTTATACTAACACTAACGAACGAATCAGACAGATTTAACAGATAATAGAGTACATATGATGTTCGTACTTTGACAGATTTTTTTAAGTGAAGGAGGAAGTCTCGCCTTGTTTCCCCCGAGCTGAAATGAGAGCGAGCCGCATGCAGATATATCGCCATGGCAATCGCATCTTCCACGAATATATTATTTTATTTCGTTTTGATTTTCTCTCCATTTTTTTTCATAAATTACATTGAGGACTAGAATAATGTTGTATATTTTGTAACATTATAATTAAATTTTTCTTTTATTTTTCTTTTCTTTAGGAAAATATGTTGGATAGCAATATTATTTGAAATTATAACGTGGAATCTGTCGTATTGATATCTATCGTTTGATAAAACTTTTGTTATTACAAACAATTAAAGTATCTTTTCTATATTGCTATTTTCATATTTCACATAATATAATTTAATTCCGTTTATTGAAGTTGACCATATGATTGACTAGGTATGATATGTAATACATATGTCACAGTAAAAACGTAAAATTCAACAATTATATGTATTTACTAGTAAACGTATATAATTTCTTAAGTTAAAGAAAGTAAAGAATAAAAGTAAACATGTTATTGTTGCTAATAAATATATACATTTACAAGAATATATTCTTAGTACTCTTAGTAAAAGCATACTAATTTTAATAAAAATTGTTGTTACACGAATATCTAAAAAAAATATTTATTATAAAAATGAACAAAGAATTTTGCAAAAATACAGAAGTGAACAAACATTATTTAATAAAATGGTTTCTATTTGTTATATTATAAAACTATGCTATAGAGTATTATTTTTAATTGCATATTGTTTGTATACATTTTTATTAAATTAAAATCGTAAGTGTATACATTTACTAGCAAAATTATGAGTTGTCTTCTCAATTTTAATAGTAAAATTGGCATTTTTGTTAACTAGTAAATGTAGAAAATTATTGATTTTATGTTTTTGCTGTATAACATATACATTGATTTTTTCCTTTTTTATATCCAGCATAGATTCCTCTTTTTTTAAAGATAGTGTGGAATACATATTTGGCTTTCTTGTAACGTATTAATAAATCTACACATTGGCTTCTTGTACTGATTCTTTCACTAAAACGAAATTCAAGGAAATACATCCTTTAAAATGAATGGATATGCATATTGTCATGAAATATATACATATGTATGTACCTATAGATATTGATTATAGCTACAACATTTTCTTCGATAATCTTGTGCAGCTTTATACTGTTTTGTTGTTTATAGATAATTTTGAAGTTATAATAAATAACGTATTTCTTTGCAAGAATGAAATGAAAGAATCTAAACAAACAAAGGAGCTAATTGATTCGATTTATAAGTATATACTTGCAATATTAAGGAAAAACGACTCTTACAATTACTTTATATTTTTATTACGTTGTTTCCTGAATTGATTCTTGTATTTATGTTTTCTATTCAATGTCAGTAATAATTGCATTTATAATTGAATATTATTTAGCCGACGTAATTTGCTAAAATACAAATACATTTTGATTGAATAAACGCAAATATGGAGACATGTGAAAAGTATATCAGGCATTCCACTTTATCTTTTCACTTTAATTAAAGATACATGTTTTTTAATGCGATTAATTAAAATATAATTATTTTTATCAAAGATTTTTCATTGTCGAGATTCTGTAAACAAATAGCAACAGATTACAGCAAAAATATTGAATATATGTATGTTTAATAAATAAAAAAGCGATTCTTTATTTCTGCAAATTGTCAATTCCAAATACTAATTCCGACAATGATCTCAAAATCGACTAATACATTATGATTAGAGTGCTATTTGATTGCAATGAATGGCAATTCGATTTTACCCACCTTGCTTTAATTTATTCTATTAATAAATATTCATTTGTATTGTATAAATTATTGAGAACGCGACATATAATCGAACATTATTTGAACAAGGCAGGCCATAATTAATTGGTACTTCATTTATTTGTATATTGATTAATGTATCCTAATCTATATATATTGTATCATTATTTAATTATTAGAAATATACAATATTTAAGCACGTATGTCTTTGATAATCTCATTGTGTAACAATAAAGATAAATGTTAATGCTTATTTCTCGTTAAAGAGCAATGCTGTGCTTAGTACAATTATGTAATATTAAAAATCCGATTAAATTAAATGTCATTCATAATAGCTTTTACCCAAGATTACATTTTATAAACGTCATATTTATTGTAGAAGTATATATATTTTTTAATATATAAGAAAAAAAAACATACCTATTATATTTTTAATAAAAAGTACAGAAGCAAGGTGTTACATGCATAATCCTTTACAGTGTAAGACGTAGCTATTAAAAATATTAATAATCTGCAATTTAATTTTATTTTAATACTAAGTACAGGTATTGGCTTTGCGTATATTATAAATTTGAGAATTGTGATCATGTGTTACCCCAATATCGAAGATACGTGCCTTCTCCTATATAATATTGTGTATTTCAAATATCTCGTTACACGATAAATCAATGCACTAATCTCCTTCCACAGTCATTGCCAATAGCATTTATTAATAATATCTGGTCAACGCAAGTAGCATCTACATTTATATATGGCAAATAACTATTATTATACATTTATTAACGAATCATGGCGTATCCCGTAGAGTGGCCTCGAGCTGCTTAAAAATATATATTTCCTACTTGTAGCCAATCAGAGGAATTTTATCATCTCTGATCTTTTAAGACATTGATGATTTTTTTATATTCTTTTGTATAAAGGATATTTAAAAAAATCGTACATTTACTTCTATTGTATGATATTAAATATTTCCAAACTTTTTATTTACATCTCATGAGATTGCACAATTAATGTATCCCGATATATTTAGCATTTTGATATAATATATTTCCAACGAATGTTTAAAATCGTCATTACTAGGATTTGTTTTTTTGTATTTGTCACATGTTTATCAATATTCGGATACATAAGTGACATTAGAAAGTTATAAAAGTAATAAAATGTAATATCTAAGGTCACCCAATAAACTAATGTATATGAAAACGAGAAAAGAGAAAATGTTGAACAATTAAAGGAAAGAGTGAGAGAGGGAAAGAGAGACAGAGCGAGAGAAAGGGAGAGAAAGGAAGAGAGAGAGAGAGAGAGAGAGAAAGAGAAAAAGACCACGTCATATTAAATATATCAAAACATAAAAAAATTATTTGCAAATTATATAAATATAACATCAGTCTTTAAGTGATTATGCTCTTTACTGCACTCCAACTACGTGCCCGTCCAAGCATCCAGAGAGGATCCTTAGGATATTCAATTAATTATAGTCACTCCATTATTTAAAGAATCTAATTTAGAAAATTTAATTTAGATTTTACGTTATGGAGGGCAGTAAACAGCTTATAATATATAAACAAAATAGAAATATTATTTAATAATTTTAAGGAGCAATAATAGTAATAAATTCGCATTAATAAATATGTCAAAAATGTCTTGTATATGTTGTATTAATTTATTTCTAAATCCTTGTATACATAAAAAGGAACGTTTTTGCCTGTGCGAGAATATGTCTTATAGCGTTTCACGATGCATGTAACTCGATAGGAATGTGTTATGTGTGAATTGGGCTCTTTTTGTACATTTACGCAACACAGTGATTCACATAATCCCTTGACACGTCATATCAGGAATCAGGAATTATTCTAGGAAAGAAAAGAACTACAATTGCAATTTGCACCTTAATTTCCCTCTGAGAGAAAAGAAATAACCTTCCTTTAAACAATAAACGCTTATATCCGTGACGAAATTTCACATCGACATTATACATTTTTATATTTTGGTTTATTTTTTTTTTTTTTTTATAAGAATTTCTATTTAATTTTGAAAAAATATTAATATTATGTCACTCCCATCAGAGATTTTCTAAGCTCATCACATCGTAATTTTCTGTGTCGTAATCGGTGTGCAATGGTGACAGGATGGTGATGGTTGTTATACATATGACAATTTGATTAATTTATCATGTTTAGTGTTTGTTAGCAACTGCCTTTGTTTTGTTATTTCAGCCCCATGGACCCATCCGTACCCCCCAAGCACCCAGTAGTGAGGTACGTTGCTACATACCATAATACCACTATCCGTTATTCTAATTTCACTCTCATTCATTCCTTGATTTTTTTGTACATCCAACTTTCTGTTCGTCGATCATTATCAATGTAACGCGTATTTACATTCGTTTAAATAGAACACATTTGGTGCACGTTCATTCGTTTGTATCTACCGGTGATTTTTGTGTGGTTTAACATGCATATTTCATGAGGTGGCTAATGTTGTCCGTCAAAAATTTATTTGACATTTTAAATAACTACATAAACATAACAATTATATTCTAATTATTACTATTTAAGAATGAAGGTCTGTAAAGAGAAACATTCTAATTATGCAATTGTTAATATGAGATAAAGTATTCATCTGACATACATATATGGAACACGTTGGATTGATTATTGCTTTATAACTTTCAACTGTCTTATTTACATGCTTTATTAGTTAAAAACTACAAGATTTTTTTTATTATCATTTTATTATCAGGATATTATAAGAATATCCGAAAATTTGATAGTATTACAATATAGTAACATATTCGGGGTTGCAGTGATTTATTTACATATAACTTTTGTCTTTTGTGTAACTCACTCTTAAGTGTTCTTTACTATATAAATGTAAATATATGTATCCAGCACTAAAGTTGTAATTAAATTTATGACGTAAATGATTTGCATGTCACGCATGTATGTTATAACTCTTCATAAGGTTTGATTCTGGATGAATTTCCATTTTACATTACGTTTTATGTTATCTATCGGCAGCTTGCAAGGACATTTTAGCACAACAGTTATATCGTAGAATCTCTTTTAAACGGGTTAAGAATTTATTTTTACGCCGCAATTGCAAGCTTGAAGCTTTAACATATCACATTCTGCACAATATTTACATTTTACATGACTCAATACATTTTGTATAATTTTCAATTTGATCCTGATACGCATAAAAACAATGTTACAATTTCTAAAACAGATAGAAGTAATACTCGTGAAAGATATACAGATAAATTGATAAATTATCGCTCGTCACATATGATATTAGATATAAAAAATTATGCAAGAATTATGCATAGAAATATTCGGAATTTCTCAACATAGTTTAGCGAGAACTTTTTTTTACTGCAGCATTGGATTTAAACCGCCGTATTAAATTTATTCGTAATTGTAAAACTTGTACCGCTGGAAACGCTTTAGGTAATTGGACGGGTTTAAGATATCTTTTTGTTACAGCGGAGCTACCACTAACGACGAACAAGTCAAGCCGCGCAGTCTACGCTTCACGTGGAGTATGAAGACTACCAGTAGTCGAGATCCTAACGAAATAATGTCCGAGATCCGAAAGGTACTGAAAATGAAAGCACGTTTTATGTTACACCGAATGTCACGCGATATTAAAGGTGATACACTTAACGGTGAATATAGAGACGAGCCACGCCTCTGTTTAGGCTCCTGTCTCTTAAAGACAGATGATATAATTATCAGATTTATAGTAGACAAAACGCGCGTCATCGGAGCCGCTTTTTTCCAGGTACTGGACGCCAATAAATGCCAATACGAGCAACGCGAGCGGTTCCTGTTGCTGTGCGCGCACGGCGAGGCGGCGACGGACAGTCAAGTGCAGTGGGAGATCGAAGTCTGCAAGCTGCCACGACTTTCCCTGAACGGAGTGCGGTTCAAGCGTATCTCCGGCACGTCGATCGGTTTTAAAAATATCGCCAGCAAAATCGCGAACGAGCTCAAGCTGTGACTGTCGGCCACGGGCGCCCTAGCCGCCAATCGCGCCAACCCATAACGACCTCGTGAGCGTAGCCACCAAGTGGCGGTGGTCACCGAGGAGTTTTACTCTTGTTTCTTCTTCTGGGACTCCGACTCCGAATCCGATACCCAAGAAATATTCGTTTAAACGCGATTCCTCCGTCCCAATCGACGAACGTCATCGTCAGATGAGAGGGAGGAGACAGAGAAAGAGAGAAAGAGATATCTTCTCACGCCCTCAGGTCGTCTCTTCTACGTTGGAGGTACCGCTATTAACGATTCGTCGAAAAAAAAAAAAAAAAAAAAATCCGAAACTGTGATCTGTGACGGCTAATACGTATTCAAATACTCCCGAGTGCCAAAATGGAGAACTAGATCGGGTCCTCGTTAACGCTTTGCGAGCGAGAGGGATAAGAGAGATGGACCAGCTGACCTGATCAACCGTACAAAGAAGCTGGCATTAGACACAATAATCTATGTTTATTAGTTTGAAATTTTCGTTATCGATATAACGAAAGAAATGTGCATCCGATCGAAAATAATCAGTCATGCTTTACAGGTTGATCTGCCTTCCCAATTTTTGAACAATCCATCAAATTCATCGCATCTGTCATGAAGTATTTCAATCTTCATTTTTAAACAGTATTACATTTTGTGTTATTCTTGACGTTGAAGGTATCTACATTCAAATTTGATATGTCTCTAGAATGTTCAACACTTATCGCATACTGTCGTAAGATGTTGAAGGATGATTAAAGTAGAATCGATTCAATCGGATTGTTAAATGTGCCTAATAAAACACTTCTCATCGATTTCGTTTTTTATGGCGATCGCGTTCCTCGTGTACAATAAAATAACGCGACTATGCTAAAGATAAAAGAATGAGACAATGTATCTGCAACGTCAAGAGATTTCTCTGTAGCTTCCTGTTTTCTCCTCCAATCTTATATATCTTGTATGTAAAATTTTACTAGCGGAGAGATTTTACCTGTAAATAATTTGACAAATTTACAGAACCGAGGGATATGTGTTGCGTTCTGTATTGACGAGAATCTGTCATCATTTATAATGCATTAGCGCCGTGAACGAACTAATCAATTGAATTGTTTTAATGTTGCACACTATGCAACCGTTGAGTTTTTTCGAATATTTTTATGATACTTTACCTTTTTTTATCTATAGTATAAGTTTGAAAATACGCAGCACTATAGACATTAGCGAATTATTAAAACATGTAATAATAATTATTAATATTTTTATTTTATCATAGACGACAAAAGTATGCATATACATATATATACATATATACACATATATATATATATATATATATATATATATATATATATATAATATGCAATACAAAAAAGGTAGAAGCAAAGAAATTATTAACATAATTTAGAAATATCATCGAGTTATTACTCGTGTTTCATGTGTACATATAATACACATACTTCATCATTCTAAAAATTGAAATTACAAATCTAAACTACATCAGTAATAACAAGATCTGTTATTTCTACGAGAAATGATAATATGATAATATTAAATTTAAGTATTATAATTAGCTATATTGTACTATTTAATCCTTTCATTCAGAAGTATTTGCAGTTGAATGAAATAAAATTAGGGTTTATCGTAAACCGTAGAAGCGAACTAGAGACTTGGTGTATATAGTATATATTACGAAGGTACTAAAAATTAATGAGAAGAAAGAAAGAGAGAGAGAGAGAGAGAGAGAGAGAATTTCACACACCAAAATCATAAAATACACTTTGAAACTCAAGTATCGCAAACTTTTTATATTTGCCTAAGATTAATGAAGTATGTTATTAAAATAGGCAATGACTAATTTATTTACATACTATAAACTCAATGATTTTTCACATTTCTAACACTTGCTACACTGAAAAATACAGATTAACTTCAGCGCGCCAACACGACGTACGATCGTGATACGTTGTGTTGCGAATCATGAAACGACTGATAGCAACTAAGTATCGGCGCCAATTGTCCGTTACCGAACGTCTTGACAAAAATTCTAAGTAAATGATTAACGCAGCACAGGCATCGGGACTTATCTTCTTTATGCATAAACCATACCAATTTCGTGTCATCGGATTACTTCATGAATCAATAAGCGAAATAATGTAATATAACGATTAGTAATAATGTTATCGATTTACGAGGAGAGGCAATTTAGATGCAAACATTCACACACTCTTCTAAAAGAGAGAGAAAGAGAGAGAGATAGCCAATCACTTTTAGGGAATTAGACTGGAGGATAATGATCGTTTTCTTTTTTCGTTTGTTCCTACGTTAATCAGAGAGAGTTAGTATCCTGAGTACAATATCGTACATCATTATTATTACCGTGTAAAATAAAAAGAAAAGGATTGTAATCCAGAGCGGCCGTTGTAAATGACTCTATAGAGATACACACAACACACACACACACACCCAATACCATAAATAGGGATTATTATTATTATTATTATTATTATTATTATTATCATCATTATTATTAATGTTAACGTAAGATCCTTCAGATAGCATTAATAATACACATCCCCGACATATAGACGAATTAATTATCTATCATAATCTAAATCCACCCTTCGCCGGCTTGCTTTACGAAATAAATGTATAAATTAACGATCGATGCTTATAAAGTGAAGGAGAGAAGACATAAAATCTAAAGACATTCATGATTTTAACGTGTGAGAGGAGATTTAAGAACTAGTTAGAATCGCGGAGCTACACGGGCGATGAGCTTAGAATCGAATTTGACGCAATTTGCCGGGGGAGCTCTCATGTGATTTTTTTTGTATTTAAGTGCCGCGAAAAAGAATATATATTACTCCCGCCGGTAGTCGCCCGCGTGGCTGCGCGCGACGACTACTCGACGCGCACATAACACACGTAACGTGAATTATACATACATACACACGTCGGTCTCTGTAGATAGGTACATACATACATATACAGCTTTGCTAAGTGTTTTCTGGTGATCGGTATCTAGCCAAAATGTAGCAAAACGTTTATAATAAAATGGTAACATGCATTGTTTCCCAATTCAGATTCCTGTCAAACGCGCAAACTCGTCACGACATGTACGAGTCGTCTACATTTTCTTTTTTTTTATTTTTTTATTTCAATTCCTTCGCAACTTTCTTCAGTGAAAAGCTACGAATCGATACGTTCGCGAAATATCGCATAATATAGATTGCACAGATTCCTACAATCAAAGAGAGAGAGAGAGAAAGAGGATGGATGCATTCCTTTCTAACGCTGTCAATTAATGTATATGTGTACGTATTATTATGATGTATAAATACGGAGAACATTTCACTCGAGAAGCAAAATGTTGATTGTCATGTCTGATTTATACGCTTTTTATTTAGAGTTAGACGAATTTATCACGACGAATGTCTAGTCGTAAATTGTTTTTTTAATATTTGTAAGTTTTAACTCCACATTTGAGTTATAAATTTGCAAAAGTACAAAAATCAGACGACTATTAAAAAAAAAAGTATTGTATTGGATTCTATAAATATCATGATATAATCAATGTTACAAAATAAAATTACATTCCTTTGAATTCAAAGATCATTGCTTGCGAATGTATAGATCGCACAAATGAACGCGTATATCTTTTAAATTTTTTTCTACTTCATATGATACATCTTTTTAAAATTTTAGAATAAATTAAGTAAACTCTCGTTGCTCTTGTTTCAATTATAAGACAATTCTTTTTTTTTTTAATTAAATACGTTTATAAAAATACAAGTACCTACATTACGATTCAAAATTAATAATTATTAACTGTCGCTTTTAAAATTAACGATTCTATTTCTAAAACGGATGAAAAGGAATTTCGATTAGTTTTGTCACATGAAATCATTGCTCGAGATTGAAATTGTTGACTGAAAAAAGACTGGACTAAATTTTAAAATTCAAATCGCTATTCCGAAACTTTACTTGCCTCGTTCTGATTGGTCGAATCGATTTCCAGCCTGTAATTTCTAACGCACAGCTCGATACGGGCTTCAGTTTCAGTAGCTTCGTGAGTAATTTTCCTACCATCGACCGTCATGATGTTACAACAACGCGCTTGCGGTCTTGTGATTTTTCGCCGATTTCAAGATACCATTCAGTATCTGCTGATGCAGACGTCGTACGGAGAACATCACTGGACACCGCCTAAAGGTTAGTATATGTTTCTACATCGACATTGTCAGCTGAATGTCAGCTGAAAGCTGAAACGACTATTAATGACTTGACGCGGATTAAGGTTTTGTTTACATTGTGCGATCAGTGCCATTAAAAACTCTAGAACTGACAATGCGAGTGAACTAACTAACTAAGCACCATGGATGTATCGAGACTTTCAGTTATGGCGGGAAAGGAGGGGGGG